TCGTCACGTCGGCCTGCAAGCCACATGCCCCTCGCTCGGCCATGGAACAGTCCTTCAAAGAACTCGCATCGCTGGCGCATAAGTTGACTGTGTATTGGCACCTCCTCCCCGTCCAGCTCGACCAATGCATCGGCATCCTCGAAGTATCTCGGATCTTGGATTGCTTTGGCGAAGTCCTTGTCCAAAGACTTCTCGGCCGTCGTCTGTAGGCGCGCAGCTGCTTCTAGCTTCATCATATCCAGCTTCGTGGCCAGCTTCATCAGTTCGTTGCGAACCTGACGATACCTATGCGCCAAGGACGGCGCTTGACGTGTGTGGTTCCAAGCTGGAATGACGGTGTCATCATAGCAGTAAACAACTAGGTTTAGCAAAGAGAGTAGATCAATAGCGTCGAAGGTGATAATCGTTTTCCCGTCGTCTTCTCCAATCCGGAGAATTTGAGGTATTTCGCGATCGCCACCGTTTCGATACTCACTGAGTGCTTTTCGTAGAACGGGGCTCCTTGCGGTAAGAAGCCAGGCATGTACTGGCACCTTGATATCTGGACTCGAGGAAGTACGCAGTTCCAAATCAAATTCAAAGTCGGAAGCCATCGAAAGAAAGTGGCATAGATCGCGCTCCAGATCTGTGGATTTCAGAACCTCGTACGGCAGCAACCCAATTCGGTATTTCAAGTCCTCTGATTTCCAGAACCCGAGCGTGTCCTTGTCACCGGGACCTGGCGCTGAAGCTTCGAAATCGCGTAGAACAAGAAGAGACGCAATGTCTTCCCACAGCGACTGCTCGTTGACATTGACCTGCTCCTTCATCACATGGCAGTCCTTTCGAATTGCCGCGAAAGCGCCAAACGTAGAGCTCCTCACGGCGACAGCGTTTGTGACACTGGGTACTCTCTGGAACTTGAAGTCTTTCCGCTTGATGTCAGCCGATCCAGGGATTGCGGCGTCCTTCGCTTTGGTACGCTTGATGCGCCTCCAGACTGCGCCGGATTCCGTGCAGATGATGACGGCGCCGTGCTCGCCTACGCTGACCGACTTGACGCCATCCTTCCGGGCGTTCCAGATGCACTGGGGCGTGGTGACTGCACCCTTGATCTTGGATGGGTTTGTTGTCGATGTTGCCGAAGGAGTCGCATCCGCTTTGTGGTTCAGAGCCATGGTAAATAGGTCTCCCCTCGTAGTGACCGCGGCGATCGTCTCCCCTCCCGAGGTAATGCGGCTAACCTGATTTCTAGCCGAGTTGTACCGCGCCGACATGGATGTCGTGAACTGTTGGTTTACAAAGACGTCCGGGGACGGAAACTTGACGAAATTGTAGCCGTAGCTGGTGAAGACACAGACACTGCTGTCGGCTAAGAGACAAGTTGTCGCTTTGTCGATGGCCGATACAGCGACGATGGGGGAAGAAAAGAGAGAGGCAGCAACCTTTCTTGGGATTTGTTGGACTTCCAGGGACCTCGAGTCGGCGTCCATGAGAGCCAACTGACCGAGGTTTTTGCCCCAGCAGAACAGGGACGTGGATGTGTGTGCCACAGAGTGATAAGTTGAAGCTGCCACGCCGACGATGGCCTCTTTCTTGAGTGTCCCAAACACTTGTCGTGGGGTGGTGCTCATGGGCTCCTCGTCTTGTCTGACTGGCGGCGGTAAGCTGTATCCGAGCTGGGAGTTGCTGTTGGAGCCCCAAGTCCAGAGCTCGCCTGCGTCAGTGACTGCCATGCTGTGATTCTGGCCAAGTGCCACTTGCACTACCTTCCTATCGGACAGACCTCCCTGGACAGGAACGAAGCGGAACTGCGTGTTTTCGTCGCCCAAACCGAGACGCCCGCCGCGTCCAACGCCGCAGATGTATAGGTTGGAGGCTGGGTCGGTTGTGAGAATTGCCGTGTGCAACTTGGAAAGGATTGCATCTTGAATGCGCAAAGGCCGATTTCTGATTAGGGCCGGAATCTCCTCCATGTCCATTGCATCAACCGAGACGTTTGCCCCGTGATCAGCCTCATTCCTCGTCTTTGTGAGATATTCCTGATAAAATCTCCGCACAAGTTGGTCCGGTCGCTTGAGCGTAATTCTCTCAGGGAACTGGCGATCGTCTTCATCACCTACACCGAGAGATAGGTTTCTATTGCTTCCAAAAACGAAGAGCTCTTCTCCATCGGTGGCACCGTCGAGTGCGGCAACGGATCTCATCAACGCTTGGCCTCCGTCCGAGCTGCCGTCATCCGAGTCCATGTCTGAATCATCCGAATCTGTAGCATCCCCAATCGTTCTAATGGCAATGGTCGAATTGTAGAGATCGAAGGGACTGTTGCCTTCGCGATCTTTCATCTTGATGAGCTGGCCAACCTTGGATACAGAGGTGCCCAGGGTCTGTTCCGTCAATATCTTGCGCTCTCGCTCGAGCAGCAGGCGCGCGATCGCTACATTTCCCGTGTACAGAGCCCTGTGAAGGGCATTCCAACCGCTTTCCGGGTCTTGCACATACAAGTCTATTGCGGGATGGTCGAGCAACGCCTGGATGAAGAGGATGGCGTCCGAGGTAGTCGATGAGGCGGCACGGAGGAGGACGGTAAGACCAGCATGGTCACGGCTATTGATCTCGAGCCTACCCAAAGTCGAATTCGAGTTCTTGGATGAGCCTGAGTTGATGCCCACGGCGGAAGACTTGCGAGTTTTGACATTGCGGGGAGAAGTCCCGTATCCTCCGGGACTGCCCCCGAGGGGCCCCGCGCCTATGCCCGGGCTCCTGGTCGCCGCCTGCGTCGAGTGAGCGGCCGGGGCCAGCAGACGCCGAAACCTGTCGACATCGTTTTCCCAGTAATATTTCCAAAGTAGATGACTCATGGGCAGGGGCAGGCAAGGAACCCTTCAAGCACTTGGATGGCACCTCGCTGTGAGTCTCTAGGATCACGGCTTGTTTAAAGGTGCAGTTCCGAGCGCGAGAAGAGCGGAATGTTGGAGAATCAAGAGGAAGAGGTCGGTATCGATCGATGGAAGAGCCCGAAAATCTGCGATGTCACGAAGCCCTAAAGGAGGATAGGGAGCGGTTTATCGATGTTGCCACCTGGCTGGTGAGGCTCTAGCTTGTTGAGGATTTGATGCAGCGTCGAGAGGAGATGCGATGTTTTTGATAGAATATTCGGTGTCGCGAGAGCAAGGGCTTCGATTCGGATGGTTGGGAAGATGGATTCGAATGACTGGGCGGGGTGATGTCGAGGGTTGAAGGCAGTGACGGTCGCGGGGGGTGGGGTTGGATGTCGAGGAAATTGAGGGCATTGTGAATTGACTGTTCAGCGAGTTGTGTGCGCGTCAGAACCACGAAGGGCGCCGCGCCGCGAATTCCCGGTCCCGCGGGTGCTTTCGTCTGGTGTCGCGCAGCCAATCGGACCCCCGTCCTCGAGCTTGTGCTCTGGTTGCAGGCCAGACAAGCTTCACTCCAGGAGGTTAGCGTGCTGTACAGTTACATGTCGAAGCCCTGGATGTGCTGAAGCAGCTGGACACATCCCGGTGCGAGGTGGGGGTGAAGGTACCTGAAGACCGGTTCCAGTGGAGTCGCTGTACTTGGACACAGGTGCCTGAGTGTATCCGTACGGCTTTGGATCATCCGAATCAAACGGCGGTGGTGCTGCGGCCATGATGAAGAACGACAACACGTGCTGCCTTAAGCCACATCATCTATCATGCGAAGAGATGAAAGTCGCTTGGTCCATCTGCAGTGCCTCGGTTGCAGCAGTTCTGCGGCAAGGTTATACATAGTGCGGTGTTTCTTTCCAAGAATTAGACGCTCGAAACATTTCGCGGATACCTGCCGGGTTGGCTTTGGGCAACTTATTCGCACATGCGCGTACCTTACTGGCGGGAGATACAGACTGAGGAAGACTGCGACATTGCCTGCCTTATCCGTGCCTTATCGGTGGCCCTGGAGGTGCCTTGGGTACCTTCTTCTGTGGGGAGCTACCCCCGCCAGCTCCTGTACCCCGCCTACACCTTGCGCGGGCTTCTATCATGTTGAAGCGACTGGATCGCATTCGGGCGGCCACATGCGCGCCTCTCATTTGCCTGCATTTCTTGCTGCTTTTGGCGTCTTAGGTTGGATATAATGAACAGTCAGGGGCATGGGCCAGTAACAGTCGGGTTGGATCGAGTTGCCACTGCATCCGGCTTTGGGAAATTTGGCAACTAATGCCGATGTCCAGTTCTTTGTTAGAGCATGAGGTACCTTAAGATGCGAAAGATACCTTACCCCTAGATGTATTTGGGCATTTCATCCCGAACAGGAACGGCAGGAAGGAAAAGTAGATGAGTGCACCGCAACGGCTTTGTGAGATTCTTTGTTGAGCTGCCAGCTGGATTAGAGACTCTAAACCAGCCCTGAGCAACAAAACAGCTCCTCAAAGTGATTGGAGCGGACTCGCACCACTGGCCCAGCCGCAGTTGCGTCGGAATTGTCGCCCGAATCTCGGCAATGGACGGCAGTCTGAGGAGGTGCATTGGATCTTGGTGCAGCCGCAAGGCGATGACCACAATACGTAGACGGGAACAGCAGCAAACATGGCCCGAGCCCTGGGGTCCCTGGGGGATCTATCTTTACCCCGGCAGGCCTAGGCGGGAGTCCCCCAAAAGCCAGAGCCGGACTATTGCCAATACGTAATCCCGTTAGCTTCTTCACCGAAATCCCGCCCTGTACACCGAGAACAGGCCAATGAGAGACCTCTGGTGTGTGAGGGACGATGACCAAACTCTGTAATGCCCGTCCTGGTGGAGTCCGGCGCGGCTCGGTAACTTGCTGCAAAGCCGATAAGGGACGTCCGGCCCTTGCGATAAGACTCCAGTTCCCGCTAATTTCAACTGTCGTCGTTCGATTTTCGCTTCCTCCCAAACTCCCACCAACGCACCAAGCCCGCCCGTCCTCCTCTTCTTGCGCTTCTCGGTAGGTCCCAATTGCCAAATACCACCCCTTGCGCCCGCTGACCTGTCCTGTCACAAGTTTCTTCCGCCGCCAAAATGTCGACCGAAAAGCCTCTTCCCTTCGCATACCAGTTCGCCGCAGGTTCGTCCACGAAATCCCCGTCCCCACCCTCGCGATATCGGACCCCGACCACTGACCAATCCATATAGGCGCCATTGCCGGTGTCTCGGAGGTCAGTAAACCGCCAGATGAACCCCCAGCGATAAAGTGATGGAAGCGCTTACCCTTCATCATGTTTAGATTCTGGTTATGTGAGTCGAACAGCTTTGCGACAACCTCACGTGCCCCGCCGCTGACCATACTCAGGTACCCTTTGGACGTCGTGAAGACGAGAGTGTGAGCTTCGCCTGGTTGTCTGCTCAATCGCAACCCGACTGACCAGCTCAGGCAACTTCAAACCGGAACGGGCGGTGCCGACTCCTACAATGGCATGCTTGACTGCTTCCGCAAGATCATCAAGAATGAGGGGTACGCAGCCCGTCCCACCTAGCGCCCGGCGATGAACTCCAAAAGCTTACAATCGCCAGCGCCTCGAGGCTATACCGTGGAATCACCGCCCCCATTCTCATGGAGGCTCCCAAGCGTGCCACCAAGTTTGCCGCCAACGACGAGTGGGGAAAGGTCTACCGCAAGATGTTCGGCGTCGACAAGATGAACCAGTCCCTGTCTGTTTTGACCGGTGCTAGCGCCGGTGCTACCGAGTCTTTCGTCGTCGTTCCCTTCGAGCTCGTCAAGATCCGTCTCCAGGACAAGGCTTCCGCCGGAAAGTACAACGGCATGCTTGATGTTGTCCGTAAAACCATCCAGGCTGAGGGTGTTTTGGCCATGTACAACGGTCTCGAGAGCACCATGTGGCGTCACGTTCTCTGGAACGCCGGTTACTTCGGCTGCATTTTCCAGGTTCGCCAGCTTCTCCCCAAGGCCGAGACCAAGACCGGCCAGGTCACGAACGATTTGATCTCCGGTGCTGTTGGCGGTACCGTCGGCACGATCCTCAACACCCCTATGGACGTCGTCAAGTCGAGAATTCAGAACAGCCCCAAGGTTGCCGGTCAGACGCCCAAGTACAACTGGGCCTGGCCTGCCGTCGGCACCGTTGCAAAGGAAGAGGGCTTCGCTGCCTTGTACAAGGGTTTCTTGCCCAAGGTCCTGCGTCTCGGTCCCGGAGGCGGTATCTTGCTCGTTGTTTTCACCGGTGTTATGGACTTCTTCCGCAACATGAAGGCGAACGCTTAAAAGCACTGGCAACAAATTATAGATGAATTAACAAAAGACAAGAGGACCTGGATTGTACATCTTATACAGGCAGATACCATCACCGGGGGCTTCGATTTATGGCGCTCAACAATGCAAACTTCTGTTCGGCAATGATCTCGAGTTCTCACCAAATCAACGTGACAGCCCCCTTCATTCATTTTAAAGACGATCGCGCCTTCCTCGAGCTTGAATTCTTGAGGTGGGGTTTCACTGATATTGACACATCTTTGTCAACACAAATTCAGTGCATTGTCAACGATCGTTCCGTCCATCATCCCAGCTTCTCTCTTGGTCACAGATATTAACTGCAAACGCTCTCTATCGCTCCTGCTGCCTTCACGATTAAACGTACTTCCATGCGAGCTGCTTGTTTCTTTATCGCTCGCCCTCGCACTTGCTATCTCTTTCAACCACACATCTCACCCACCCTCGGAGACTTCTTACCACTGAAGATTTACGCATATTTCTCTTCCCCATTTCGCAACTTCTCACGATACGCAGTATCAAGCGTCGTCTCGAGCGAACTTCAGTAGCAGCTTCCTTTTTCGCTGAGGCACCTCGGGCCTGGCTTCTCTGGAGGCTGGTATCTACTGCCTTTCGAGTGCATATGATACTCGCCAACCCAACTTCAGCACATCCAGTCACTCGAATCGCCTAATCCAACGTCAGCATAGCCTACGCACTCTTCTTCTCTATGGTCAACTGATCGTGGTCTTCCGCTAGGAAGGAGCTTCCCAACGAGGTGAGTGGACCTTCCAGATTCCGATGTCCTTGCCCAGAACATTACCAGGCGAGCTCCTTTTCGACTATTTATACCTCTCCGAAAAATACGTTGAGAGCTTCACTCCCCCTCTTCTGCAACCCCAACCCGTCTGCTACGTTTCTCACGTCTTCACTCTTCTTTCCAAACACGCCGTCAGCATGTGCCATCACTAAACAAAAGCTAGAAGTCTTTCGGTCAGCACCTGACGCCTTGGAAATGTCTTCAACTCCTCCGAGTCAGGAAGGTTCGGCCCTTCCAGCTGAAGGGTTGGATTCTCCTGCCCAGATGCCACGCGACGATTCACCACACAGTTCCTCTTCGCCTTACGCTATGGAAACAGGATTGATGGAACTCTTGAAATACAACAATCAGCATCACTATGACTCAGACAAGGACGAAGTCGACTCCATAGATGGAGATGGCTCAGACGGTTCCACTCCGTCGCCTGTAACGCTCAAGCCAGCGAAGAGAGAAAAGAGCGGGAAACCGGCTCGGAAATCGCCTATTTCTCCAGAGAAGGTGCTATCAACTGATGAGTCTGACTCGGAAGATTCCGACTCAATCGGCGACCCGGTTGAGCTCGGCCGAGTAGACCAAGAAGAAGAAGGATCAGACGCGATGGACAGCGAAGGCGAGACTGAAGATGACGATGGGGCCTCGAATCACAATTTCGATGATAATGAGAACGAGTCGTTCCGGCAACCATCCGTCGACCTTGATCGTATCGCTTGCACCGATGACTGTCGACACCAGTTTCGAGCCGCCTTTGGTACCCTCGAACAGCAGGTATCTGATCTCCAGGATCAGATTCGCTCTCTGACTCTCCAAAGTGGCGAGAAGGATCGACAGATCGAGGGGAAGAATAAAGAGATCGAGAGACTCAGAGGAAAGCCCGTACACCGGCAGCGAAAGACGAAAAGGGTAAGTTGCTGTTGTCTTGAACTTCTCTTCAGACTTGACTGCTGACATTCCACTGCAGACGTGGCCCCATGAACTTCGGCGGCTTCAGGCAAACGATCCGGAAGCGATGGATTACAAGAAGATCTACAACCTCTGCTGTAAAGAGGAGAACATGAGCTCTCGGGTGGACCTGATCCATCCTAATCTACGACTGCGCCACCCGACAGCCAGAGACGTTCAGAAAGAGATCGAAACGGAGATTTCAACAGCACAGCTCGATATTGAATCGGATGACGGAAACAAATCAGACACGACAGTAGTCCGAGCTCGCAGCCTATCCAACGCATCGGAGGAGTTGTTCGTTCGGGACAGTGAGCCCCCTGAAGGCATTGCGTCATTGTCCACAGAAAAGGAAGCTGAGAGTCCATCGACGATGAGCGGTTTCCCCTTCAAAAAGCTGCCATCTGAAGTTCGAGCCAAGATTCTCACGTTCGTTTTCGTTCAAGACCACAAACTCATGCACTGCATCTCTCGTCTCGACCCCTTCTTGGCTCCAGAAGAACCAGTCCAGCCAAGTTCAAGGAGAACCGGCCTCTTGAATCGATTTCACGTGTCTGGTTCTTCGTGCAGTGTTACGTACGCCATCAAGCCTAACGAGCATCTTGCTCTATTCTTGGTATGCAAGGAATGGTACTTCCTCGGTGCGCATGCATTTTACGGTCTCAACACCTTCGCATTCTCAAGCATCGGAGAGTTTGCCCGCTTCTTTCGCGGTATCGGCAAAGCTCGTAGCCAGAGAATCCAACACGTCGAATTGCTGTGGATTGGCAATCAATACAGAACCTTACCATTTCAGCTGGAGGGCAACAAGAAGAAATACACGTCTCGACGGACTTGGGATTCTTCGTTGCTGTGTGATTTACCGCGACTGAAAAGCCTCACGGTACACATCAACGAGACGGGCAGCCAATACATCCGCCGCAAGCATGAGCCCTCAACTGTCAAAGATTTCATGGCGTCCAAGACCGCTGGCCAGCCCAATTTCCGCTTTGCAAGATCCCTAAGGACTCTGCAAGGACTTGACTACATTCACCAGCTTCGAGGCATGCAAGTCATCCGGTTTCTGGACTTCGAGAAACATCTCAAGCTCGGGGGCCGCCACGACATCCGTGATTGGACCTTTGGTAGAGACGTCGAGACAGTGACTACTCTTCCTAAGCCCCATGCTGTCTCACAGGCCGCAGAGCTGCGGAATCTGAAACCAATTTCGCGGGGATTTGTAGCTGAAGAAGGTCACTGGAAAATGATCGAAGAGCTCTACAACACAAGTTCTGCGTTCGACACAGAAGGCTACCAAATACCTGAGACTCGTTACGCCAGAGCTTGCCTACCTAGCACAGAGCACAGCTCGGGGAACACTGCTGAAGTCTCCGAACACAAAACCGTCATTCGATCTCAGCAGACAGCCAGGCAAAAACGCAATGATGCTTCTGACACGGAAAGCACAAGAACCTTGAGCGACGCCGACTCAACTTCAAGAGCTACGGCTACGAACTCTCGGTCTATCACGACTGACTCACGGTTTTCTCGCGATGCTAGCGAACTTTCATCCGCCGGATCGAACGTTGGCAATCCTATTGATATTGACAGCTTCGAGCCGAGGAGGAGACTGCGCGAGAACTCCACGGCAAGTACTGGTCTTTTTGTACGGCAGGAATCCTTTGACGGCCGCTCTGTCAGTCGCGGTGTGGCCCGACGGGCTTGGTCAAGCACCAGCCGCATTCCTTCCCCGACGCCATCGGTAGGTCGAGAACCGTCAGCAAGTCTCGATACAAGCGGGCTCTTCCTCCCATCGTACTCGCCGCCCCAACGCGGTCCTGCTTATCCCAGAGTACAAGCTCTAGGCGCGCCCGATGGTGAGAATCCAAAGAAAAGACCATACGATGCAGACGAAAACGATCAGGGCGGCCTAGACTGGAGCATTCCCTGCCCAGCGTCTTCCCAAAGCGGCTCTCAACGCATCCGACCATCCAACACCAACTCATTCATCTCTTCCAATCCAGATGTCCATTTCGGTATGGGCAGAATGTCTTCAGAGTCTGAGACGGACTTTTGCCCCTTCAGCAAGAAACAGGGCAATAAAAAACAGAAGCAAAACTAGCCAAAAACCGCTATTTTGGCACCAACAACCAACTTTCGCTCTTTCTTTCCGCTCATCTTTCCGCTTATTTGAGCACATATCGGATTTCACGACAAGTTGTGCTTTCAGGGACAATCAACCACGATGCCTGTCCTCTCAGCTTGATCTACTTTGGTTTTGCTTTTTTTTTTTTTTTTTTTCTTTTCGATTCGTTTTGAAGCAGCGATTGCATGTTACTCAAAGCATACTTTAGGACGGAGCGTATTGCGATTTGGAACATCTCGACATGGAGTTACAGCAGACGTTCAAGGCACAAAGGTATGGAACATGTGCAGGTGGCCTGGCGCGAGTGGGCAAGTCATCGACCGTGGGATCATCTCCTCACTTCATAGCCAGACAGACAGACGAATAGCGATTGGTTTCTTTTACTGCTGGTATCTCAAAAGGTGGCCTAAAACGTGATTTTTGTGCCCGTGAACGAAACCGTAGCTTGCGCCTCCTTGGCTTTCTTCCTCGCTTCCCAACTGGGGTGAAGTGGCCCCTCGTTATCCTTTTTAGGAGGCGGCTTCTTTTCGAAAGACTGAGGTCTCTGGTCGTCTCTGCCTTGCCCCTGCCTGCCAAGAGGGTTAGACACACCCTTCTTCCAAGGCTTGCCGCCCTTGCCATCATCGGCCTCGACGGCTCCCTTCCTCATGTCCCAGCCGTCGTCCCGGCGCTTGCCATTCTGCTGCTGCGACTGCTTCTTGACGTGATTTGCCTTGGCGCCGTACTTCTTCTCCCAGATAGCCTGGCGCTGCTTCTGGCCTAAACGCTTCTTTGGGGGGGCGATGTCGATATCCGACGCCTCCGATTCGGAATTCGAGATGTAGCCGCCCATCAGCGAAGGCAGGAAGGTCGTCGCTCCGGGCTTGCCTGTCGGCTTCTTGGCCCTAGCCTCCTTCTTCCTGTGGCTTTCTGGCGGGGGTGACGGGGAGAGGGACACGTTGGCCGCGTTGATTCTTCTCTGCCGATCCGAGTCGTTGCCCTCGTCGTCGTCCCGATCCTCCATCTCTTCGTCCTCCTCGTCGGGGTTGCTTTCATCGTCTGCTGTGTCTCCGTCACCAACCTCGCCGAGGAGCGCCTGGTACTTAGCCCTCAGATCCTCATCCCCGCTCTCTTCCTCGTCTGAGCCACCAAGCATAGCCTCCATCTTCTCGAGCGCCTTCTCCTCATCCTCCTCGTCGACATCATCGCCATCTCCTTCGATCTCGGCATCCTCGGCATCACTATCGGTCGGGATCTCGTCGTCCATTTCGTCGAAGGGGTTTGTCTCCTCCTCCTTCTCAGCCTTAGAATGGGCTTTCGTGTCAGAGACATCCTCCGCTGCGTCCGTCTTGGCCCTCTTCGCCTCTCTGGGCTCGTCGTCCTTCTCTACCGCCTTGGACTCATTTTCAGCGCCCTTCTTGCCCTTCTTCTTCCTGTCCGGTATGGGCACGTTGAGGACCAAGCACACCGCTCGCACGGCTTTGTCGACGGCTTCTTTCACATGAATGCGGTTGAACAAGCCGCTGGTGACATTGTGCAGCGCCGCCTTCTCATCTTCCGATAATTCGGGTTTTGGAATGCCTTGCTTGACGGTTTCGGGTAGCGAGGGGTGCTCGGCGAGTTGCTTGATTTTGAGGAGGGCGGAGTTGAGGTGGGTGTCGGCGGTTTGTTGTAGGTCGAGAGACTGCGGGCGAAAGGTCAGCGTTTGTAATGGGATGCTAAAGGAAGCGGACTCAAGTGTAAAATACCTTGAGAACTAGCACCTCACGCTCCAATCTCTTGATCTTGTCTGGCGTAGACTTGTCGTCGCGCAAGCGCTTGCTGTACCTCTGGCGCTCGAGGCCTTTGGCGCCTTTCAGGGCGCGGAAAATCTCCGTTCTCGCTTCCGTGAGCTTCTGCTCGAGATCGCTCTGACGTGACCTCTTTCGTTTGACCATCGTTGCGGTTGCAATGCCTGTCGGCTACTAAGTAATGCGTCTGCTGGAACAGTTGCGATGGAATGGGACGGTGCAGAGCAAAAAAATTGTGGTCCACCTGCGCGATAAGGTCCACCGGATAACGCGCGGAAAGCTTCCGGGCTCGAGCGCCGCGTGGAGCTGGAGTTTGGTGCAGTGCCATTGGCCGTAATTCCGATTCCGCGCATTGTAAGCATTTCATTGGCTAAAATGCTTCCTATCAGCATGGATGACGTTCTTGGAGGGGTCGTCCTGTAGCACCCACCCCGCGGCCTTCGGGTTCTGGTGCAGCGAGCTGTACATATGAGGTTCGCGCTTGTGTAAGTCATTCACCTTTTCAACCAAACATCTTACAAGAAAAAGCCGTAAACATGTCGGGCTCGAGTCACACGAAAGATGACCTTGCGACCCTGGGTGCCGGCACCCTTTTCGGTGTCAATGGCATGGTTGCCGCCATCACCGGCGGCGGCTCTGGTGAGCTTGCCTAGCCAAGTCTTCCAAACCTCTTATCAAAGCTGACAAATTGTGCAGGTATCGGACTCATGATGGCCAAAGCCCTCGCTGCCAACGGCGCAGAGAAGATCTACATCCTCGGCAGGCGCAAGGAGGTTCTCGAAGAGGCTGCAGCGTCTGTTGGACCTAACGTCGTGCCTTTGGTCTGCGACGTGACTTCAAAGGACAGCTTGCGCGCGGCTGCGGCTGCGATAGAGAAGGAGTCCGGCTTCCTCAACCTTCTCGTCTGCAACGCCGGCGTCGGCGGACCTCAGGTCAAGGCTGCTCCGGCGGAGATGACTGCTGCCGAGTGGGCCGAGCAGCACCTGGCTCATGACACGGCCGACTACTCGCGCGTCTTCGATGTGAACGTGACTTCTGTCTGGTATACCACGATGGCGTTCCTGAGCCTGCTTGACTTGGGAAACAAGAAGGGCAATCTCTTCCAGAGCTCCCAGGTCGTCTCGACCAGCTCCATCGGTGCTTTCAACAAGAAAGCGCCGGGCGGTTGGGCGTATGGCCAGTCCAAGGCGGCGGCGACGTTGCTCATCAAGCATTTGTCGAGCAACCTGCCTCAATGGAACATTCGCGCCAATTGCATTGCCCCTGGATGTAAGACATTGGAACGAAGCCCTCTTTGACGTTTTCTACGAAAGCTGACGACCCCTGTTCTCTAGTGTTCCCAAGCGAGATGTCAGCTCCCATCGCCAAGCTTTACAGCGCAGACGGAAGCGTGCCAAAGGAGATGGTTCCCATGCAGAGGATGGGAGACACCCAGGACATGGCTGGCGTTATGCTCTATCTTGCTTCTAGAGCGGGTGCTTATTGCAACGGATCGGTCATCACTGTTGACGGCGGTAGACTTGGAAACTTCCCCACGACGTGGCATGCCTAGACGGAAACAATCAGCTTTGTAGAGTAAAACGCTTGACGCTGTTTACCAACGGGCAGTAAAGAAATCAGTGTGAATGACGAGAATGACCAAAGTCAGTCCGCAGATGAGATGTTAGGCGTGCCATAAGAATACCAGGAGAAATACTGTCTAGGATGTCAGCTTCGCTCTCTCCTTGAGTCAACGCCTCGAGAAACAATTGTCTCATCATTCGGTGAATGTCTTGGTGACCGGTGAACCCCACTCTCGCCGATGCAAGGATACATACCGGCGTTTGTCAAATTCGCTTTACTCTTAAATTTCACCGCCCCGAAATCTCACCTTACCAAAAGTCAACGCTCACCTGCACCCACAGACATTGTTGAGCTGCGCACAGTCCTCACCACCACAACTCAAGAGGCGCACACATAATAAGTCTTGACACTTGTTTGTTCAATTTCGCGTGGGGGTTTACAACCCCCGTGCGTTTGTTTGACGATGTATGTACGTCTGTCTGTTCAAATGGTATAAACCCAAGCAAATAATACTCTTTGCCTCCCCCATGAAAATGCCAGCATTACGCCCATAGCGCCGTGTGGGAGAGAGACTGATTAACAGAAGGCAGAGCGCCCGAGAGGAAAAAGGATGATCGGGGACGGCTTGCTTCTGTTGCTGCTCTCCAAAAAAAGGAAAAGATCACTGATAAGAGAAATATTCCCCAATGGGAAGGGGAGGTTGTTGTCCATTCCGAGCGAACGTCGTGTCGTGCATCAAACATTTATTTGGTGATGAAGCCAAGGTAGTCGGCGACGATCAGCGTTACCATGCTGTGGGACGCACTGTTAGCACACAGGGATTCTGACGGGGTTGATAAAGTCCACTTACGCATGGGGAGCAATGCGGACATAGTATGTGCCGAAACCGCGGTAGAAGCGCATGACGCCCTCCTGCTTAGCAACCTTGGTGAAGCAGTCCGCCATGGACTTGTACGGGAGCTTGCCGTCGGGGCCCTTGGACTGCTTCTGAAGGCGAGTCTTGACGAAGTCGAATGGCAGAGAGAAGAACGAGGCGAAGAAGCCAGCAATGGCAGAGGCAGTCAGGGTCTGGGCCTGGGCAGACATTTGGGTGTTTTGCTTGAGCTGGGACTTGGCCTCGCTGAAGAAGGCGAGCTGACCGAAGTTGAGAGCCATGGCACGGACGACCGTGGGGGCGGCGCCGGCCCAGAGGGCGGTGACACCCTCCGACTTTGCGATACTGGTGAGGGCGTCAATGACGCTCTTGTAGTTCTTGCGCTCAGCCAGGGGCTTGAGGCCATCGCTCTGCATGCGGATCAGGGCCAAGTCGGCCGGGTTGCCAAGCATGGCGGCCAGACCTCCGGCAGCGAGGCCGGCGGTGGCACGTTCCTTGAAGCCAATGGACTTACCCTGCTCCTTGGCGCGGGTGCCGAGCTTGCCCATGAAGGTGTCGAAGAAGCCCAAGCGGGCCGTGGTGTAGACAGCCTGACGGAGGAGACCAGCGGACAAGCCGGTATAGAGGTCGAGTGCCTTGCCGCTAGCAAGAATTTCTCTTGTGACGGACAAGGGAGTGGGCTTCGGGCCGCCGGCGACACCCTCGCCGGCAAGCTGGATGCGGACCTTGATCATGTCGACGGGCTGGATGACGGTGGTGGCGACCATGCCACTGATACCGCCGTTGATGAAGGGCAAAGCCGCCCGCATCAACGGGGTGTGGAGGAAGTCGTTGGCGACGGCGACGGAGTCGGACTTCATGACTTCGGACCCGCGGGTTCTAGCTGCCTCAGCTGCCTGCTTGAAGGTGCTAGAGCTCATGGTGGTCGAGATGTATGTTACTGCAGCACGAGGGCTTGCAGTGTTCGATTCGGTGGTTGTTGTAGGAGGCGCCGTGTACTGACTGCTTCGGGACAGCCAAGTGTTGTCAAGTTAGGATGGCAGGAGAGCTACGGATGAGAAAGAGAGAGGCAACTAGTCAGCCCAAGTCCGGACCAAGGAGGTATCAAAGGTAGCTTTATAGAACAAGAGCTCGCATCCTCCCTCCGTGCCTGTCAGTGCCTTGTGTTAGACACGCCCCCGGCATCGAATGCCAGAAGTGGTGGGGGTCCAACAAAAGCATGAGACGGGACGCAAAGACGCAATTCCACGTCTTGACGGCGGCAGGACCCCACATGCATGAGAACGGGCGCACAGGTGGGCAAGGTACACAGCTATGTGGTGTAGTAGATTTCAGAGATGCAGGCGTCTGTAGCTGTAGCGTGGACGTGATCCAGGCCGAACGCGATGCCGCGACCGAGGCGACGGTCCGGGTCGCATCGGCCTCGACGTTGACGAGGCGGTGGGGGCGGGGGGGTATGTCATCGGGAAAGATAGGGACGGGTGTGTGTATTTGGGCCGTGGTTAAGGTAGCCCGTCCCATGTAAGTCCTCGGGGACGTTCAATAGGGCGGGCTCCACATCCGGCCGGCGACAATATCGAGTGAGGAGGGTGGGGATTTGGGATTGCAGTGAGCGACTAGACACCAACTAGGCAATGTGGATTGGGGAGTCAGGGAATGAGAGAAAGAGACCTAGAACGAGAGAGCGAGTGAGAGAGCTGAGACGGATGGACCAGGATTGGTGACGGGGATTGCGCGCTACGCACAGCAGACTGCCGGCCGGCCTGCAAAGAGACAAGCCGCAGCGGGGGTGGGGTTGGGGGGAAGAACAGCCAGGACAAGTGTGTGTGAGTGTGTGTGTGTGTGAGAGAGAGAGAGAGAGGATGCGATTGGGACTAGCTCGGCGCCCTTGTTGAACGCCTCGCGTCCCCAATAAAAGTTGCGCAAGACATTGAGACATTGAGAGAAACGGTAGCTTCGCCTGACTTACAGAGGTAGGTAACTGCGTCTTGTAAGCAACAGTTTCGACGCAGAGTTCGACACCGTCAATAACACTGACTGTGGGTGTCGCCGCAACTGGATATGGATGGAGTGTGGTTGGTATAGGTCGCGTGCCTCTAGGGAAGCAATGAAAGCGAGGAAGGCGGGGTTTAAGGATGTTTGGAGCTGGCAGCTGGAGGAAGAGGAGAAGGAGGGGAAAAGCTGATCCAGCAAGCCACCGGACAGTCAGGCAAATAAGAGCAAGTTGCGGTGCGGTAAGTCGACAACAGTGAGCTTGTGAAGACGAAAAAGCCGGAATGTTGGAAACAACGTAGTTGCCTTTGCCTTTTCTTCGTAGGGGCGCCTCTTTCGGGAACGGTCGGTAGCTTAGATGGAGATGTCAGGTGCTCTCGGGACGATCAAGGTTCGGCAGTAGCAACCCCAGATGAGTCTAGTATGAGAAGTCGGGTAGAGGCCGTTGATCACCAAGCAGTAGCCTTACTTGGGGTTTGGAGTAGACTGAAGAATGTAGGTGCTGGAGGAGGAGGAGGAGGACCGAGGCTCGACTCGTTCAAGGTAGACACCGTCTTCAACAGACGACGGACAATGCAAAAGCTGGTGGTGGAATTAAGGCAGCACTCGTCACGGGGGAGATGGGTGTGCGAAGGTTGGACACGGCGTGCGGAGTTGAGGCAGCCGTGGTAGTGATATTTATGAGAGAGACACATGCCTTGATGTGCCACATAATGGTGGTACCTTGACCATGCCATGTCTCCGAGTGCAAGTGTACATTGGGTTGATACACGGCGGTGATGAGGGCGACATGTACCTTTGGCTCGGTATCCGATGTCAAATGATTGGCGCTTCACACAGTCAGAGAGCCAGAGAAGCCGAGCAGGCCCAGCAAGAACAAGCCAGCTCCAAGCTTGAAAGCCCCCCAAGCCTCCCCCAGCCCCGAAGGTGTTTTCACAATCTGGGGGTAGGGGAAAAGCTTCCCACCCTCCCATCCAGACGCCGCTGTCCCTGGCCACGTCGAGCGCGCCAATGAGGATCATGGGATTTCCAGCGGGAAGACGTGGATGCGAAGCCAGGCGCATTGTGTGTCGCGTCGCTTTGGTGCCGTCCGGATGCGGGGTATGGGTTTCGGCACACCTCATTCATCAACGTGACGGAGGGTGGAAGAGGGGGTTTGCTGGGAGCTGGCTGGCTGGCTGGATGAATGGATGGATCAAGGGAGGGATCGAAGACGGGAAGGGTTACAGGGTCGAATGGATGGATACCTGGGGGAATCGCTCGAATCTCGGGGAACAGCAGCAGCAACAGCCCGTCGTCGACAACGAACGACGAGCTTGACCCGTTTCTGCGTGTGCAGATCGAGGGAGTATCGATGGAGGGTTGGGGACAGCGGACGGTAGCTGATGGGCCGGCAGGACAACGTCACCGGTGCCATTGAGAGAGGAAATCTCCTGATAATGCCAGCATTGGGGCAGACGAACGGACGACGGCCACAGCTGCTCTCCCCCAAGACGGTGGGCGGCAGGCTTGCACCGTCTGAGGATGAATGCACCCCCTGCGAGGACGGCAAAAAAGAGCAACAGCAATGAAACGGATGTCGATCGCTGGCTGAGCTGACTTAGGCAGTACCTAGTTGGATCGCTTGGTGGTTGGCGCTGGCGATTCCATGCGATTGGATTGCTCCGCCTCCCGCCGACACGGCCAATGTCTTGTCCGCGGACGAGACTTGGGCGGGTGTTTCGTTGTTTTCTTGGTTACGGACGTCGAAAGTCCACTGCTGGATAACTGGAGTTGGGTGCATGTCTTGTTGATCGGCCTTTGTGGAGAGACATGGAAACGGGATGCCATGTGCGAGGTGCGAGGTGCGAGGTGCGACGGGTGCATCCCCAACGCGCAGCTCTTCCCTTGGTGTTCTTGGGCTCTCCCCCTTGGTCCTCCCGAGAAGAGACGAGAAAGCCCCGACGATGCCGATCAAGCCGTTGGAATAGATCACCAGGTGCTTTGAAAGTTGGGGTAGGCAGCTGTTGGCCAGCACGGTCGCGTTCAGAAGCTGAGGTGCCTTTCTGGTCTCGCTCCACTATGCAGTAGATGGGCGCGTTAAGCATGAATAACACGACGGGAGGGAGGTTAAGGCGGGCGGCCACTTTGGTTAGGTTGGTACAATGAATGACATTGGACGGCTTGGGATTGGATCTGGCCAAGGTAAGGTAGGTGTGCAGCACTGGGGCGGGTTGCGCTGTAAGTGCCCTGCTGGACCGGACTGGACTGGACTGGACTGGACTGGACTGGGAACGGCTGCCCTACGCAGTACCTAGGCCGGGAACCGCCTGCCTGCCATCTGCTGCGAGAATGCGGGGTAGTGGCACACATGCCATCGAGACCCACTATCTCGCTTACGTACACCCACGCTAAGAGAGCCGCCTATCGATAAAACGAAAACACCCGCTCTGCTGCCGAAGTGTTCCGTGCAGTCCAAGCCCAGACCCTGAGGTGGCCGGCCCCTCTGCCTTAACAGCTGACCACTCACCACCATCATATTGTCTTTACCACCAATTCCGCATGCACACCTACTAAGCACGTAACGATTGGACATCCTCGGCCACCACACCTCCACTGACCTTGGCTCACCGAGGACGTCCAAGGTGACATGTTTCCAACGCCCGCGTCCCGTTGAATTTGCCGCTCACCTCGCACACCTCGCACACCTCGCTCATCGTGTCTCACCGAACGGCGGCCCGTTGAAATTATTGGGAGACGATCCGACCCTTTGTGTGTGTGTTGTTGTCTCTTTGGCCCCCAACACCCGCGCTATTCCCGGCCCATACGCGATATCTTCAACGCCTCTCGTCACTGGCATGCAGCCTGTGAACCTGTTGAGCCACCTGGGAGTACTCAGTAGCCCTACCGGCCTTTGCGGCCCCAACGAACCGAAGCCGTCTTGGGTCGGTGAGCTAATCTCGGCCCTCAACCACGGCAATGTTGCGGCCGTCGGGACCACCGCGGGAACACTGAACCACCACGCATTGCATGCTTCCACTCCATAGGTGTACGCATCCCCTTGCAGACTCCCCAAACTCTATTCCGTCCATCAACGATAATCTTCGGCTATCAAGAGACGAGAATCAACAATTGAGGCCTCCTCTTCCAATCATTCAGCCACCCTCCCCCCGGTACCGCCGCGGGAACTCGCGGCCCAAGACACCATGTCTCTGTGAACAACACCAAACACAGCAAGGGTCCAACACATCTCATCTCCCCAAAAAGACATTGCTAAACCTTGGCTGTCAACCTCATGTCGGCGTCTTCAACATTTTCGCCGTAAAAGCGAAGACGCGAGCTGCTGGCAATAGCCTCATCATCACCCGTGCGTCATGTCACCGACCAGGACCTTGCATCAAGGGTAGGTGGGTAGACCGTAGGTAGCCAGGGTGCTGCGTAAAATTCCCGGGAGCTCGGTTCGCGCAAAGCCACTGGTGGAAAAACGACAAATCCTCAACTCCCAAAATCCATGTTTGCTAATCGTCTACTCCCCGGAATTGTCTCTGGCGAATCCGGTTCCGCGCCCAGCTCATTCCGGAAATACTCAAGGCCTCACCTGGAAATTTACTATGCACCTCGGTCTTTTCCTCCCTTCCTACAATTGTGTCACTGGCCTGTCAAGCCAGGAACCTAGCCCGAACCTGCGCCTGTGCCCCATCCCGCGGGATGACGCTTGTCCGTCTTAAAGAAGGCTGCGCTGGGATTGGTCATGGAAACGTCCACCGTCCACCGTCCATCGTGGCGGTCCAGCTACATTTCCACACATCCCTGTCTCGGAGGGTCCCCTTGAGCTTGGATCGAAGAAACTGACGTGGTGCGGCTCGTCGTCGAACTCAACACAAACATCACCCGTTTTCCGGCTACTCGTCCCCGAGAAGCCGGCTGCAAGACAGTCTAGACAACAGCTCGGTTATCACAGCCCACGCAGACCCCTGCCGTCTGACCTCGACGACCCATGGGATGACTCCCAGATCGGGCTCCAAGAGGACCAGGTTGTCAGGAAGCCCAATCGCGACACCCTAATCAGACTTCCTCTCTCTCTCTATCTGACCCACCCACCAACCCGGATGCTCCCGCGCCTTTGGGAACCTGAGCCGAGAAGCCTCTCCTGTGCTCCCCGGTGGCTGGCCCGCATTCCGGCTTCACCTTGCGACGAGAAACACCGTCACGACCTGATGCGGGCTTTTCCACAACCGGAGAAGCCCTTCTTCACCCTTGCTCGTTGAACGCTGTCAAGGATCTCGGCAATGCCACACCGTATTCTCGCGAAGTCGCGAAACTCGCTCACCACCAAGGACGGCAAGGAATAGATCGCTAGGCGGATGCTTCCCTTCCGGTGGATGGACGGCGACTGGGTTTCCGCTTAACAAAGCCGACAGGCCACGAAACCCCCCGGATCTCGGCCTCGCGGGACGCACTTTTGTTGCCGACTAACGTAAGTTACACGCGAACACGGTGGTTGCGCGGATATCGCGTCGGTATTCATAAGTGAGGGAGAGCACGTGGTGGCATACATGGCTCTGCGAGTTCAACTCCCACGGCCAAGCGCCTTGATGGAGTGAATGTGGGCTATCGCTTGATATGTTTGTCACACGACTTCGCAGCATGACTCCTATCAACTTCCTACAGGTGTTGGTATGGGGTTCTATACGCTTCTCGCAGCACACAGCATTCGTCTTTCAGAAGTCGACGTCTCTCTCGATCCCGGCCTTACGTTTGTAGACCTGTCAGGGCTATCTGACATACCACTGCTCATGCCGAGGATTCGCCTTGGAATACTGATCCCACTGCCATCGCTTTGTGTGCAATGGCTTTTTAGTTGACTTGACCTGCCACCCGTCAGACACACCTTAACCCTGAGGATTCGTTTCTTCAGCGTGCCATCTCAGCAAACAAATCCAGCTACAGAAACGCAGGGCATTAATGCTGATACGTGATCACAATACGCTGGTGCTCGGTCTCTTGGGAGGATGATCAGAAGTTGGGAGATGACGACATTGCATATGCTAACGCACGACAAGCCCCTGGCTCAAGTGGACGCGATTGAGCATTATGGGCACACCCTTCGAGCCATGTCTTCTACAATGACCAAGAAGGGTCGCCCTGCCATGTAGATGCATGCTGAAGCTAAGCCAGAATATCAAACCCGTCAACCGTGGCTTGTGAGTGTGTAGCCTTTGCTTAGCATTGAGCAGTGGAAACGACGTGGCGGAAGCATAGCCTGAAATGACATCCTCACTTGCAGCACCAGTAGGACGTCACACCGGCAAGCCCAGCGGCAAGGCGCGTGGAGGACAATTGTGCCTGGCAGGAGGAACACTTTGCCAAAGACTGACATGTCACCAGGGAAACATGGAAGACAGTCACAACGATGCACACAACATTACTTCTTATGACAGAGACATCACAGGAAACATTTGTTTACGTGGAGACCAAGATGTTAGCCAATGTCAAGGAAGGACGGAGGGGGAAAGATAGACTTGCTCACCTTTTTGGTTGCATCATGCATCACAAAGACAGGATGGCGTGCAGCCAAGTAGTCAGTCATTGTCAGATCATATTGAGAGTGCGGGGTATCTTACCTTTTGATTTGAATCGTGTCAAAGTCAGGATGATGGACAGTCGAGTAGTTAGTCCAGGTCAAGGAAGAGCAAGATTGGAAAGAGATAATTGCTCACCTTTTGAGATGCATGATTTGCCCCGAGTGTGTGAGCAGTCAAGTGGTTAGTCGATGTCAAAAGAAAATGGAATGGGAAAGTATCTTACCTTTTCTTCTTTTTGATCGCAGTCGAGTTGGCGGTCTGGGTTAGTACAAGCATGTCATGTCACACGAGGGAAAGAGAGATCCCTTACCTTCTTGGAATGTCGAGAAGCCTCATTGTGAGTGTGAAAATGCACAAGTGGTTAGCCAATATCCAAAGGGAAAAAAAAAGAAATGGAAGGGGGAAATATCTTACCTTTTGTTGTGAGATCACAGTCGAAGTGGCGATCTAAGTTAGCACACACATATCATGTCACACGAAGAGGAGAGGGAGAGATGACTTACCTTTTTCAATGAGGCGAGGAAGATGACACGTCGAGAGGAGATACCAAAGTAGTTCAAAGAAGCCCAATGACTTCCCAAACCAGAACATCTAGATAAAAATGAAGCTCGAGAGTCGATGCAATGCACTGCGGTGACTCCCGAACAGAAAGCTGAATGAAGTGCGTCGAGGCAAAGGCTTCAGCGGAGGAGACGGTTCGTACGCCGATTGATTCGAACAACTCGCTTAGGACGAGGGGGAGGAGGAGACGGAGGACGCGGTGAAGAAGGAGCGAGGTAGGGACCTGTGAAAGAGGGAGGTTCCCATGAAGGAGGGAGTGACTTGCCTGACTTGGAAAGAATATTGGATTGAACGTTCCGAGCAAACCGTTGCAGAACTTCAATGTCCTCGTCGCGGAGAGGAGGCGAAGGAGGACGCGGTGAGTCAGGGGCGAGGTAGGGACCTCTGAAAGAAGGTGGTTCCCACGAAGGAGGGAGGGACTTGCCAGACTTGGAGAGAATGTTAGTTTGAACGTTGCGAGCAAACCTTTGCAAGGCCTTGATGTCCTCGTCTCGGAGAGAAGGAGAAGCAGGAGAAGGAGAGGACGCAGAAGCAGAAGAAGGAGGATCCGACTCAGCAACAGCAGAAAGAGAGGATGTAGAAGCAGAAGCAGAAGCAGAAGCAGAATCAGGATGGTCCCACTCAGCAACGGCAGAAGGAAGGGCCAGCACAGGTGAGTGCGTAGGTGAACGAGTGTAAGAGAAGGAAGCGTCCGAAGCGAAGACAGTCGGTTCGAAGTCGATTGAGATGGTAATAGGCGTAGGGCTCCATTCTGAGTAGTCGTATGACTTCTCCGGGGTCGTGGGATTCTTGGGGGTCGCGGGTCGAAACGTCATGCCGGCCGCCAACTCCTTCAGCTGAGCGAGTTTGATTGCCACAAGGCGATCGCTCTCGGCTGCCTTTGCGAACATAGCTGCCATGTTACGATCGATGGTGTCAGGGCTGCGTGGAGGGGGGTGGGCAGAACAAGAGGAAGGAGAGGGAGAAGGAGAGGGAGAAGGAGAGGGAGAGGGAGAGGGAGAGGGAGCAGGGGAAGGAGACGGATTGGGACGAGAAATCAAACCTCGTTCATGTAGAGCGCGCTGCTGATCCTCGACGCGGGACATGAGTGCATCGAAGGAAGGAACAGGAGAAGAGACGGTAACGGAGGGAGAAGCAGGACGGGGAGAAGAGATGAAGGGATCGGTAAGAGACTGACCAGCCTGATCAGAAGAGATGAAGGAGTCGAGAGTGGGAGAGCGAGGAGGAAAGAGAAGACGACGAGGGGTGCGAGGCGGGGAAGACGAGATCTGGCCGACTCCGATCTGGCGAAGACAGCGTTGCTGATAATCTACACAAGCCATAAGTGCATCAAAAGAGGGTGGTGGAGGGGAAGGGGCAGGGGCAGAGGGGGGGGCAGGGGGAGGGGGACTGAAGTGCATCGCCATGGTATGGTGAATGAAAGGGGGTGATCTGGGCCCAAAAGGCGAACCAGGATCGATAAGCTTGCCAATGTGTGCGGTATGGTGCTCGAACTCGGGCACAAACAGGGGAGAGGATTGGGCTGGGAGAGAAGCAAGAGAAGGGGCAGGGGGAGGGGCAGGGGCAGCGCGTGGAGGACTGAAGTGCACAGCCATGGTGTGATGAATGAATGGGGGTGATCTGGGCCCAAAAGGCGAACCAGGATCGATAATCTTACCAATGTGGGCGGTATGGTGCTCAAACTCAGGTTCAAACACCGGAGAGGATTGGGCTGGGAGAGGAGTAGCAGTAACGACAGTAGAGGGGGGGACTGGAGAGGGGGGAAGAGAGCGCAGAAAAGCGCGAACCGGCATGGCCACAGCCGAGGGAGTAAGAGGGGGATGAATAGAGATAGAAGACGAACCTGACACACCCACCAAAGCTGAACCAACACCTCCAGACGCCCTACGAGAGGGCCGGTGGACGAAGGCGGCAAAGGCGAGAAGAGGAACGAGGAGGGCGGAGAAAACAGGGACATTAACCCAGGACCTGGCGAGGTAAACCCCACCGAGGCCGACGCATGTAACGAGCAGGCAGGAGCAAGTATTGTCGACTGGGACATGAACCCAGGCCCTGACGAACCGTGCTTCGGTCAGGGCGGCGCAGACGAGACGAAAGAAATCCATAGCAAGCTAAGAAGTCGATGACAAGTCATGAAGAAGAAAAGAAGAAGAAGAAGAAGCGAAGTTGGGGGCCGACGCGGGATATATAAAGATATTCCGCATGGCTGGTATCTGTCCCACGATCAGTAATTACATCAGCTCAGGAAGTCTGTTGGACCGTAAAACAATCAGTCGTTGTGATCCTGTTATTCCATTGGCCAGAGCATCCGGGGAACCTCTCCGGATTTGACTTTCAAGATCATCGGGGTCCATGTCAGCCCTACGAATGGACCTGGATGGAACTCCGCTAAACCGGTCTTGGAGAGTGTATGGCCGGGTCTGAAGCGACACGCCGGGGGGCGTGCGTCCGATGAAGAACCCGGGGGATAGGAATGTGACGACGACGAAGGCGATAAAGAACCTGTGTGAGGGGGTGGAAAAATGACGAAGACAATGGAGACGGCACCACGATGGAGACGACACCACGATGGAGACGACACCGAGACGAAGAAGACACCGAAACGACAGAGACGACACCGAGACGATAGAGACGATGGAAGGAAAAGCGAGCCAAAAGGGGAAACAGAAAGAGGTATCCGAGCGCGTAGTATTGTTCGGGGTTTCTATCTTATTCTATCTGCCAGTTTTCCCGTCGACAATCGACCAGGGCCCGGGCGTTATGTTGTGACTGCCTTTGCTCTCATCGCAAGGGGGAGCCCTTGCCTGGCGTCCACGTCGCACCTGCGCCGAACCCATTGCCCGACACCTGCTCGACGGCAGATGGCGTCGTAGGGGCAGCCGCTGCCTCGCTTGCAAGCGGAGGAGGCGTCAGAGCTCTTTGGACGTCCAGACCTCTCTTTGGCGGCTTGAAATTGTTCTCTCTACCTGCGCGATAAATGTCCTGAAGCATGGGCTCCAGCACGCCGGCATCATCGAATTCCAGATACTTGCGATACAGCTTCAGCGCCGTCCTAGCGTCCTCAATCGAATCGTGTGTTTCTAGCTGGATGTCCTCCTTCAGCAGATACCATGCCAGGAAGGCCAGAGACAGCTTTCGCAGGCGAGACTTGAGGAAGAAAAGGTCAATGGTGTCAACGACCTGGGATTTGGGAATATGGATATTGATCACCCGGAAGTCCTGTTTGAGACCATGGCCTAGAAACTTACAGCCCAGATTCAGGAGTATCCAGAGCTTCTTGTACGCGACCTTGAGGGACACAAGGTTATGCTTGGACACCCGCGGGTCCAGGTCTTCGTGAGTAATGCCGGAATACGAGGTCAGGTAATCCACGATGGGCTCCCTGATGGAGATGTAGTCATCGATAAACGGAACCCCTTCGTCCTCTCCCTGACCTCGAACGACGGAAGCTCTCGCAAGAGCGTACACTATTGGCCGGATCGTCTCTCTCTCGCCGTCCGAATTCATCTCGATCTCGGGCTGACGGACAGCAACGAACTCGGTATCCAGAGCGACAATGCTTTCCGGCCCAGGCTGTTCGGTGGCCAAATCCAGGGCGCGGTAAGTCTTGCCGTCCACATGCGGGCTGGTAAGGGTCAGTAGGGGTATGGTGTGCAAAAGGTTGCCGAGACGGAGCTTACTTGGTGTCCTGGTACAGCAAAGAGGTATCGATGTTCTTCTTCCAGTCCATGTCTATCTTGTTGTTCGCCTCCTTGAGCTGGAAAACGACAACTGATGGCATCTTCCATGCAGGATGGAACGCGAGTGCCTCCTCGATTGCAACGGGCCGCACGAGGAAGTCGTTGAAAAGATGCCACTGGCTTGTTTGAGGCACCTGGGGCTGCGCGTGGGCGACTGACCGAAAGTTAGTCCCGGTGCTCTTCAATGCACATCGAGGAAACGTACCATTCACCATGGCGACCAGGTGAGGCTTTTGCCCTGCACCTGGGTCGATATTCACGGCCATGCCGACGAGGGAATACACAGTTATGTTGTGAATACCGCGCTGTAGATGAAGTTTGAGATCCTCGCCTTCGTAGCAGAAAAATTGGCCATGGTCTACTATGACGCCAATCTCCTCAGGCAGGAACCCTGGTGTTGACCAAAAGCGCCTATGCTCCGGACTGTTGATAAGAGTGTTGATGACAAAGACGGCAGGGATGCTGTGAATGGTCTTTCTAGCTGCAATGTTCTGGTACCGCTGGCATCTGCTACACCAGCCTTTGGAAGTGGTCTCTCTCTCGACGCTCGACTTGAGTATTTGGGAGAAGGTTACCTTGGGAGCCTTCTGGTTCCGCACCATGCTCTTCTGTAAACAGTCAGCGATTTGCACTACGGTGCTAAGGAGGAGCATCCCGGAACAGCCAAGCCCAAATGGAAGGTGTGATGCCAAACCAGGTCAGAATGCGCCGCCAAGTACAGGCATAGCACAGAGGAAATACTTACACTTTGTTGCGGATACATCAGTTCTTGGAAGAAGCCAGAGCCCGGTCGAGTATACTCGCTCCTACAGTTCATACACCTAATGAAACTTGTCGCTGAGGTCGACAGCATCTGGAAAGATTTAGCTGAGCTCCCAAGAAAAAGGGACAGTCAACACACCTGATCCATCAAGCCTGAACCCGGCTGGATTGACTTGAAATCTACCACGATTTTCTCAGTGAGAAATCTGACCAAGCCTTGAAGCATTACGGTCAGACTGGAGCCATTAGGGTCTTCCTCAAGAAGCCCAAGAGGACCGGCCTGAGGATGATGACTGAGAGTCTTCAGCATGTTGGTTGCCTGACAGATTGAGCCCTCGGCCTTTTGCAGCATGTCAAACAAGAAACCCATTTCGCACAAAAGACATGTGTCTTCGACGCAAGCGGTCGCCGCATGTTGGAGCGCTATGTTCCGAAGAAGGGGCGTGAAATGCAACACCTGAAGCAGGGAGTTGGCGTAAGAGTTGGCGATGTGGATTTCAAGACCGGAGTACTGCGTCCTATTGTAGAACCTGTCGATCGTGAGTGGGCTTCCATTGCCAGAAACGACGAGCTGACATACCCAAAGTCAAAATCATCAACGCCAAATTTGCTGTACTTGATCTCCACATTCCGGTACATTGGCGGACACTCTGCCTTTAGAGGATCAATGTCCATGCGCATCAGCGCGTTTGCAACATCATCGACCTTTTCATCGTCGTTATCGGGAGTCTTGGCAAACTCCCTGGCTTTTTCGCTGAGGAACTTGGGCGCCAGAATACCTGACGCGTTGGCTTTGTCCAGATTGCGGGTGTCTTCCACCTGGTTTCTTCGGAACCCTCTTGTATTACGTCCATACATTCCAAAGTCCGTCGCCTTGAGGCCAGACAGAAACTGCGGATCCAGCTTGGTGGGAGGAGCTCCAACATCAGACACAAGATCTGGCCAAGCCGACAGCAATACATCTCGGTAGTAGGGCGTGCCGATAGAGTTCAGAGGTCTACAAGCAAGTCAGCAAAGCGGTAGAGTATTTTAGGATCTCCATGCACTTACGTGTCGGCAGTCCACTCGATACTTGGAAGGGGTTCTTCGGGCGTTGCAAATTCAGTTTGCGATGCGAAGTCAACAAATCGAAGCTTAGATGGAGAGCCCCAGATGTGGATGTTGAACTCGGCATCCGCAAGAGCAACGGCCTCACCAGATGGCGCGATCTCGAACATAGTCAAATACGTCATTGTGTTAGCCTGCCGTACATTGCTAGTGTTCGGATTCATTAGATCGACGACGTGCATCTGGCCGCTTTGAGACATGACTATGCTGGTGGTCGACATTCGCGGGTGCATCCTGACAAAGGCGGCGCCAGCAGGGAATGGAATCGGCGACATCGACGACATCTTCTTGATATCGAAGACATTCAGAAAGGGATCTAACATGTAGTTCTGGCCTTGGCGCAGTGAATAGCCGCAAGTGACGATGAAGTCGTGCTGGGCGTCCATGTCGCTAATGAGAGCCGAGTGAGCGTTCCAGCTTTTGACGACAGTAAAATTGGCCGCATCGATCAGGTTGACCGTGCCCTCTTTAGTAGCAGCGCAGATATACCTGCTTTTCTTCATAACTTTATACGAATGCGCCGTCGGCACCTGATCTTGTCAGCGAAGCTCTGCGACTGGACGAGGGCGAAAAGCATACCTGCTTGACCACCTCACCCTTAGCGAGATCAATCACAAACATGGTGTCCTGAAAACCGGCAACAAGGATCTCTGACGTCCCCTTGGACGTAAAACTCATGCATCGTAAGTCCTTCATGTCATCATGTCTACACTGACGTCAGTCAGATCCGTCCTGCTCAGCCGCGTGTGTCGCTACGCACCTTATGTGCCATATGGGAGGGCCTTTGCGCGAGGCCATGTGTATATCTCTCGACCCCAACACCACGACGCCCTTGTCGTTCACTAAGATCTGTCGGACGGGTCCATCGGTTGTGGTGTGCGCTTTGAAAGAAGTGTATCGTTGGAGCTCGCTACCGTAGAATGACGTGACTCTTCCCTGCAGCTGGTCAGACTCGGACAGCTTCGGACAGCCGTCAATCGGAATCTTACATATTCGTTGCCCGTCCAGAGCAGCTCTTGCGCCGTATCGAATGCCATTGTCGTTACGGGCGTGGCCATGGCGTGGACGCCCGGAGGCGGAAAGGGGATGCGGGCGACCTGGACGGCGGACTTTGTCAACGAAGCTCAGATCAAAGCGCCCATCATTGTAAAAGGTGCAATACAGCCGCGACGCGCGGAGGTAGGTATGGTGAGGCTCGCCCAATGGAACTCGAGCCGCAACACCACAGGCGAAGAGGGGCCCGGATTGCTACTCACCTCGTCCCAATCTCCGTCCATTTTGGTCTTCGCTTCCTCGCCCAAATGACCATAGTTCTAAATGAGTAATGCGATACCAAGAAAGCCGGCAAACGGGTCGCAGCCGGTCGCTCCAATACCTCAAAAAAAGAGAAGTGCACAAATAAGGTACCGGATCGCGACCCCCGCAGCTTCGCGCAGCTCGAGCAAGTGGCAGCAGAGACAAGGTGTCGCGCCCAACGGAGCTAAGCCACTTGCATGAGGCGGACAGGGTAGGGAGGTTGAGTGTGGGGGAGGCTGGGTTTGGCTCGAGTCTCTCGCTCTATCGCCGAACTCTCTGAGGAATCCGGAATATTTCCGAAACCAGATCTGAGGTGAGACCAATTTCCACCAACGCCTTCACCGAGAGCTCATTGGCCAAACCAACGGCTCCGCTCCGGTGAGCGTCGGTCTGATATTACCCACCCCAATCCCTTCAGTAAGAGTTCTCCAGAAAGTGCCGAGAGAAGATCTGTTTAAGGCAAGTAGGATTTGAACGCAAGGTGTTGGTGCTTAGTTTTCAGTTTAAATTCGGGAATAAACAATCACATAAACCTCGCGGTGGTCAAATCAAGCCCGGGCGTATTGCACGCCGATGTTTTCCCCCATGAGTAGTCCATCGTTCTATACTTCTTCAACTTCCAAATCGTTTCGTTCATGATGTTGCGGACATGACAACAACAAGTGCAGACAGCAAAGCAGCAATCGACTGCCTCTGTGTACATGGCTCGCCATCAATTATTACTTTTGTATTTCCTGCCAATTACGACTGTCTATCCGAAGTGCTTGGCGACCAAAAAGCTCATCCTTGCCTGCCCGCCCAAATATACCATTCATAGTACACCTTTATTGTTAAAACAAGCGCTTTCCAAGTCTGAAAGAACTGAAGCGCATTACTAAACCGGGAACATCCAGTGATGCATGTGAACTGCTGGGAGAGCAAAGGCATGCCTGAACAACGAAGAAGCCACTGCAGCAATGAACTCCCAGACAAGTCGCGCCTTTGTGTGTGCTGTCTGCTCTCCCCACTCTATTCCTTCGGGATGAGATCCAAGTCCTCACCGCTAGGCAAATCCTCCTAGTCCTGGCTGGCACTGAGGTCTAGGCTCTTCTCCCAGAGGTTCCGCAGGATGGCCGTTACACCCTCATCTTCCTCTCCGCCAACAAGACTGGATCCACTAAGTCCTTGAGTTCCGGCTCCCTCGTGTAGAGCCCGGCTGCTCTGGTGGTCGTCAACATCGGCCTCGAAGCTTGATCCGGCACCATTCGTCCTGATTGACTGGGCGCGGGGTGTCATTGGCCTTCTCGCAGCGGCAGCACTGCTCTCGTTGATGCTGGAAGCTCGCGTGTGCTGGCCCGACACAATGCCACTCCGCATTGACGCCGCCTTTCCATTGAGACTGGCAGTGCCATTGCGAGGTATGCGCTGGTTCTTGTTCTGGCGATTGGCCTGCGCTAAGCGATCTAAAGACCGCGCGACGGGGTTCTGGAACCGGCGAACACTGAGGTACTCCATCCCCGTCTTCTCCAGCTGCTTCGCTACACGTGGGTCGCGGCTCGCGCCGCCATCGTAACCCGGGCCTCCGATCCCCACCAGCGGGCTTGCGCCTACTGCACCAACACCACCTCCAACAGCCTGTCCCGGTTCGATCACTGAGCTCGCTCGCTGCAAGTTAAGCTTTTGTTGAGTTCGTGATTTCTCGGCCGGGGGGGCGGACCGTCTGGCCGATCGCGGAGCAAGCGCAGTGCCATCCTCATCATCTGACAATCCGGATTCTCGTCGCGACGGTCGCCCAGAGCTCGCGGAAGACTGTGGCCTTTGCTGCGGGATGTCCTCGGACCTTCGGCTGTCTGGTCTCCTCTGAAGGTTGTAAAACGACCCTTCGCGAGCTGCACCGGAGCTTCCAGCGCCAACAAATCTGGAAATCAGTTCATCGCCGGAGCTTGTTCCTGGCAGAGTGTTGATATTGTGCGAGTCGGCGAGGGTGGAAACGCGGCTGATGGAGTCGGGGGACTGAGATTGACCCCGGCGCGAGACGGAAACGGTGTCTGCAGTCATCTTGGGCGGCGCGCCGTGCGAGGGGGTGCGCTGGAGCAACCTCGATGTCAAGTATTCTTTGTGTTGAACGGTCTCGCGATCGGGGGTGGACGAGGCAGGAGGGGACGGTTGCGCTGCGGGAGTTTCGGTTCTAGAATTGTATGCGCTGTTATTCGCGCTGTTGTTTGCACTGCCGTCGTCGGGCTTCGCTGAGGATTGGGCGCTGGCCAGGGAGCCTCTTCTCGACAGGTATGGTGAGGCAGATGTGCTGGCGTCCACCCATTCGTCGTCCTGGCCGTCGTTACCCAAGTCGAAGTGTACCTGCGACTTTTGCGGCTTGACCTTGTTGACGGCGGGGTTCGAGTTGGTCCTCTTTAGCTTGTCGGAAGACTTTGACTTCTTGTTCACTTCGCCGTGGGACTTGTTACGGCGCAGGCTTGTTGAAGAGGTATTTTTGCTCAGGTTCGTGGAAGAGCTGTCGTGAGAGAGCTTCGCGTCGGACTGAACGCGGCGATGGGTGGCTGCGAAGGTGGGCTTGCGCTCGGGGGAAGGGGATGCTATGCGTCGGTGATTCAGCTTGGAGGCGGTTGATCCATGATGTTTGTGTAATGCTTTGGAGGATGGAACGCGTGCATGCAAGCGACCGGCACCAACAACGTGCTTCTGAGGCTTGGAGCGGTGCTGATGATGATGTTCTCTGACGGCGTTGTCGCTGTTGGTCGAGTCGCTCTCCTGATGATTGAGGGCAGGGCGTTTTGATTGGCTGGCAGACGAGGATTCGTCGCCGTCTCTGTCTCGAACCATGATTGCTTATTTGCCCCCTGGATAGGTGTATGACATATGCCGGTTGGGGTGTCGGGATGGTAGGTAGTAAGGCGCGGGTGAGTTCTGATGCGCTGCTGCTGCTATTGCTGGTGGGCGTCCTGTCCGGAGGGCCGATGGATGCGGCCGCGGTGGCTGCCGACTTGTTTCAATGACCTAATGCCTGTTAAGATGTGTCCGGGGCGCGGTACGGCGCGAAGCGACCGGGGGGGCGACCAATTGGACGATAAGAACGAGGCTGATGATGCTTCTGTGTCGATGCGATGTGCGCAAGAAATGTAGTTGGTGTTGCGAGAGGGAGAGGTCGAGATTAATTAGTTTTGCGGGAGAGAATGAAAGACGAGCTTGTCAAGGTGTCAAGGTACCCGAGACCGAATTCGCACCCGCGCACGCCCGCACCTAAACCGCAACCGCAACCGCAAACAGCACAGCACCCACCGACCGACCATACACCCCCAGAGAGGTATCGTCAGCCAGTGCCGCCAGTGCCAGTGCCTGGATTACGGCCGGCTTACTTACCTAGGTAGGTACCTGGGCAGGCTGTGGTACGGCCAGCACACCAGCTAAAGTGCCCGCGTCTGCGCCAGGACCCGGCTTCAACCGCCTCTTCCCACCCCTGTAATCCCGATTCCTAAAACCCACAGGCGGCACTCCAGCACTCTGGGGACCCCAATCAGGTAAGCTCTCATTGGCCTGCACCTCCAGATTCTGTCTCACTTGAGGTCATCCTGGGGCGTTGCATGCATTCCCATGTGCTCTTATCAGCACGTGATTCTGGATAAGCTCTGCTGCAACGGAATCTGGAAGTGAACCCAAGTGCATCAGCGGCTCTACTTCCGCCGCAGTCCGTCGCAGGCCTGACCATCACTACCACCGCGACATCTCGTGTGTTTGCCGCTAACCCACCCTTCGCAAACCACTCGAGCCCAACTACTCGCATCCCGCCATTCGTCACCTCCGTATTCATATTTTCCACAGCATCTCTTCAATCCAACAGCCAAAATGTCCGCTGAAATCGCGGCCCTGGAGGCGGATCGCAAACAGTACCAGGAGCAGGTACGCGCCATCCCGCCTGAACCTTCCCAAACGAGCGCTTGCTAACCTTGCCTCGCCAGCTCGACGTCGTCCACGCCGGTCTGAAGGATGACCCCGGAAACCCCGAACTCGAAAGTCTGCAGGCGGAGTTGAATGACATGATTTCCCTCCTAAACGAGTCTCTTGCTGAGCTGCAGCCGAAGCAGGCACCCAAGCCCGCACCTCTCAAAGCCCCCAGCCCGCCCCCCGAGAAGTGGTCCAAGGAGAACCATCCTGCCTTCAAAAAGGCCGCCCCAGCCGTCGAAGAGAAGGATGATGCCCCTGTTGTCTACCGTGTGAACGACACTGTCATGGCCAAATGGGTCTCAGGCGACAGGGGATTCTACCCTGCGCGCATCACCTCTATCACCGGCTCATCAACGGCGCCAATCTATGTTGTCAAGTTCAAGAGCTACGATGAGACCGACACATTGCGGGCCAAGGACATCCGACCCATGTCCAACAAACGCAAGGCTGACGGAACACCAGCGTCCGGACCCAGCACCGCACAACAGGCTGCACAGCCTGCGCCGCCCAAGACATCCGGCCCGTCGAACGGTGTCGTCACATCCGCTGCTGCTAGCCTGTACCCGGAACAACAAGCCAAGCTTGATGCAGAGAAGAACGCCGATGCAGCTACCAAGCCTCCCAAGGCCAAGAAGATCAAGGCCACCAAGGAGCTGGAGAAGGGCAAGAGCAAGTGGCAGGAGTTCAACGCCAAGTCCAAGTTTGGAAAGCAGAAGAAGGACAGCATGTTCCGCACGCCCGACGGTGTACATGGCCGAGGTATGCCAACCCCTCATTATCAAGTCTGGGTCTTTTACTGACGTTGTCACAGTTGGCTTTACGGGCTCCGGCCAAGCCATGCGCAAAGATCCTACCCGCAGCCGTCACGTATACCAGCAAAACGACGAGCTAGACTAACCTACAGTCTGATTTCTATGTATGGGAATGATCCTCTCGACAAAAGGAAGCCCGAGGGCTGGATGGCGTTTAAGGGTGGTTTGGCAGTCTCGTTCCATTCCTGGTAATGTGTCTTGTTTCCGTGTTACATAGGCTAACGGTTTGTACACACGATTTTTCTTCCCTCCAGATGCGAAGGGGCTGCTCCCCAATCTGGGTGCTGCTAGGAGCGCAAAGGGACTGTTGACACAAATACATGAGATGCCCGCAATACCCCTGCTCGAGGTCCCGTTGACTAAACGTTTGCTTACACAGGGTATCCTACACTCATCACGCCAATTTGAAGCTCAGCCCTCCGAGAAATTTACGGTGAACGGAGGTCGATCCTGGGAGCGATGTTCTGGGCGATCTTGAGGAATATCCCTGCTCGCTCACTTGTCGGTTCGGACACCACAGTCGGTTTGCCGAGGTCCGCGTCGTCTCCAATTGACGGGTGGAGTGGTATGTCGCCCAGGAAGCTGATATTGTGCTCTTTGCACATGCGCTCGACTCTGTCGTTCGATCCGAACACATGAGTATCTCCATGGCAGTGAGGACATTTGAACAGTGACATGTTTTGAACCAGGCCCAGGATATTAGTGTTGACCTTGTTGAACATGTTGACGCCCTTGACGGCGTCCTTCACGGCGAGTGTGTGAGGTGTCGTGACGATGATGGATCCTGACAATGATCAGTGACATGTACCGCGTCAGACTACTCTCGGCTGGGGGTATACTAACCATCGAGAATGATTTGTTGGGTGATGGTCAGTTGCGTGTCTCCCGTTCCAGGGGGCAAGTCCAAGACCAGGACATCGAGATTACCCCAGTCAACCTCGTGAAGCAGTTGTTGAATAGCCTTCATGACCATCGGGCCCCTCCAAACCACAGCATCGTTCTCCGGCACGAGATATCCCATCGACATGGTCTTGACACCATAATTTGTCATTGGCACCAGTTGGTTATCTGGGCGGTCATCAGCATGAGTCCCAGCCGAGTGAGAGATTTGACTCACTTTGCGACAATCTTGGCTCCCCTGAAAGGTTGAACAGGGTAGGGACGGACGGCCCAAAGATGTCTGTGTCGAGAATGCCAGCGCGATATCCTAGCCGCGCAAAAGCCAGAGATAGATTTGCTTCTGGAAGTCAATACAACGCGTTCTTTCTGTTCACTAATGTTCTGATTATCCTTCTCACCCGCAACTGTGCTCTTGCCAACACCTCCTTTGGCAGACGAGACGGCAATGACCTTGTCCACTCCGGTGATCTTGCGCCGAACCGGTTTTCGCGGCCAATGCGGTGGCGTGCCGGATTTCGGGAGGCCCTGGGCTCATGTCAGTGCCTTGTTTCTCCGGTTCAGTAAGAAGGGCACTGTACCAGAGGGTTCTCATGACCTAACACTCGGAAAGTGGACTGAAACGGGCGGCATAACGTTGGTCTCATTGTGAAAAGGATCTTGAGCGACTAGCAACACCCGAACACCGCAATGCAAACACAGTCACGATGGATGATGGAAGACTACTGACGCCTCTTGGATGAAGGTGAACGGTTCAAGCTGAAAATGATTGGTCGCTCTCCGAACCGGTCTCCAGCGCGGAGTTTCTTCGGCGGAGAAGAGGTGAGTTCAGGTCGCCGCCATCGATCATACCGAAATTATCAAAAATCAAGCAGATTCCTTGTCATTGATGCAAAAACCATCCAGTATTCTAAGACTCCCTTCTCGCGAAGAATTGAATGGAACGAGCGTTCCAAGGCGTGTTGGTGCAGCCTCGACCGTTGCCCACGTGATCTGTCCCAGCCACAATGCCCCACAGTCGAGCTTTCCAGGTCAGATACGTACCTTCTCACCGCGCCTCCAGTTCGCGATGAGATGAATGAGCAGTGAAGCGCAGTAAACAAGCAATCCAACCATACCAATTGCCGGAGAACGAGCATGGGACCTGAAGGAATTCAAAGAAGCAGCATATAGGGGACGTTTCAATCACGCTCGCGTTTCCAGATACCCCGATCGCATTTTTCCATCTTGCTCGACCCTCGACCACCAGCCTCCGAGTCTGGTCTCAAACTGAGGCTCTCGACTCGACCTACCTTGCTTGACCCGGCTCTCTGCCGGATTAGGGGAGCAACCAACACTGAAGATACCCGGAACGCCGATTCCACTACAACACAAACACCGCCAAGATGACGACCGCGTCACTGTTCGACATGAACCAAGGCCGTCGCGACCTAGCCGCGCTGCCGACGGACTGGCAAAACAACATTAGAGAAGCTGTAAGTCTCACCCACCCAACCTCCAAGCACCAATTCATCGCCCGCTCACACCAGCCGGGAAAACATAGTGGGAGGTGGTAGACCAACAAGGCCTGGGCTCCCTCAACGCGCGCGAATGGCCGTTTGCACTACGCGCCATCGGCTTCGACCTCGCCCGCACAGAAACGTACGCCCTACTGCTCGCTCACGGCGTGCCGCCCCACGACCACGACCCGGCGCGGGGCCCCTGCAGCCCGTCGCGTCTGCGCATGCCGCAGGAGCACTTCTCCGCCATCGCCGCGTGGATGCTGATGCGCCGCGACCCGCAGGAGGAGGCCGAGGATGCGTGGAAGATGTTCGACCCGCGCGGCACGGGGCGCATCACGTTGGAGAGCCTGCGCGCGGTGTGTTCCGAGGTGAACAGCACGCTGAGCGAGTCGGACATGCGGAGGATGATTGAGATGGCAGACATCTCGGGCAAGGGGTGGGTGAGCAAGGACGAGTTCATCGAAGTCGCAAAGGGTGGGTTCAGTCGGGGCTAGCACAGCAGCACATTTCGATGGAGGAGCGGGCGGCTGTTATTGTTTTTATACGTCATCGGGAGAGTGATCACGGGGATGCATCTTATTGGGAGCATCATGGCATTCGCGAGTTGGATTTTACAACTACATTAGAAATAAGCAACCGGGAGCGGTTTCCAAGCAAGCCATGATGAAAAGAAAAAGCATTCTGGGCCGTGCGTGATATCATCAAATCGTGACGCCAGGCGAGTGGCGTAGCGGCAAGCCCGCCTTCTCGTACGCCATATCAATCATCCTCATCTGGTTGATGCTGTCCTCCCCGTCCACCCAAAACGGCGTCTCGCGCCCCTTGACGCGGTTGACAAACTGCTCCAGCTGGTGTCGGTACGTGATCCAGTGCTCCTCGCTGGCGGCCTGAATGCCCACCTCCTGGAAGGTGTACGCCTTCTTCGACTGCTTCTCCGTCCACCTCTTCACCACCGCCCCGTTGCTCTTGTTCTTGATGACGAACTCGTCACTGACGTCGATTCGATGCCATATGCCGCCAAACATGAAGTTGGCAAAGTCAATCTTGCGCTTGCGCGTCTTCTCCTGCCCGACCGGCAGCTTGGCGTCCTCGACGACGGTCTCCTTGTGCGTGACAATCAGCTTCGGCACTCCGATGGCAGCGAGCCCGGCCCGCAGCGTTCCCTCTGCCTCTGCGGTCCCGCCGTTCTTCATCCGCCAAGTGACGTTCCACGAGTGGTCAGCCGTGTCCTTGGGGGGAGGCATGGTGTCGAACTTGGCCTCCAGACATTCGTCAGGCTCGATGCCGTAAGTCTGGCGAATCGCACTGATGGTGTACGTCCCAAGGTCCATCAGAGCACCGCCGGCAAGATCGTATTCCCACCGAATATCGTCGTTCCCAATAATGAACCACGGAATGTGTGCGCTAGCCTTCACATGCTCGACGTTCGGTGCGTCGACCAGGGTCAGATAGTACTGCCAGCTGGGCTGGAACCGGTAATGGAATGCCTCGAGTAGGACGGGGGCCTTCGCCTCCTTGAGTAGTGGCAGTCGGAAAAGCGCCTCCGCCTCTCGAGCATTGGCGACAGACGGCTTCTCGAGGAGGACGTGCTTGCCCGCCTCAAGTGCCTTAACGGTCCATTCATAGTGCAAGCCATTAGGGAGTGGGATGTAGATGCAGTCAATTGAGGGGTCGTCGATGATGGACTGATAGTCTGGCTTTACGTCTGGGATGCCGTGCTTCGCCGCAAACGCGGCGGCCTTCTTTGGGTCGCGGGCAGCGACTGCTTGGATGACAACCTCTGGATGGGATCTGGCCGGGTTGATTAAGGCCATGGGTCTGGATTGGTGTTAGTATTGTGGATTTTGGGATCATCGTATTGGCTCACGCAATGTTGGCCGCACCAAGAATACCGAAGCGGAGAGCCCCATCTTGCCGTGGCGCGACCGGCGGATTGAAGATATAATAGTTGCGCCGGAGGAGACCCCAGATTGAAGCCATTTTGAATTGATATCAGAACGTAGGTGGAGTTCGAGCCAAGTCAGACAGCGCCGTTGTGAATCACGTTGGGTTAGAGTGGGATAATGAGCTTACAAATGAGAGACATGAGGAATGAGGTGGGGTGATGGCTGAACATGGGATGATGCAGGACCGAGGTGACGTCGAGACATGGCACAGACAACCAGGGTGCAGGCAGCCGTCAGGGGTACTGTGCAAATGGTACGGGATGTAATAGAGCGCGTCTTGCACAATGATAGACCACGCATAGCGACTGTACGTGTGACCGAGCTGGCTTCGAGTGCCTGCCTGTGATTAAGGAGTTATGTCGCCAAGCTGCAATGTTTCTCAATGGAGCATCTTGTGGCACAGGAGGGCATTTTTTTGATCTTTTACTTCAATTTGAATTTTATGTAGGTAGGCGTCTTTTGACAGCTTCATCCTACGGAACAGAGCCTGTGACCCCACATCTCGGTCCAGTCTCTGCAGAGGTATCACCCATTATCCATCCTTTACAAAACGTTGTCGGCCTTGAAGTCAAACAGGGCCTGCTTGACACGGTCCTTCATGACCTTCTCACCCTCACGGACCCAGACTCTGGGGTCGTACTTCTTCTTGTTGGGCTTGTCATCACCCTCGGGGTTGCCGACCTGGGTCCTATTCGGGCGTTAGAGGCCGTCGTCTGACAGCTGATAATCAAGGGCACTTACTTCAGGTAGTCAATGTTCTTGGTAACGTAGTCACGGATACCGGACAGGTAAGCCCACTGGAGGTCAGTGTCAATGTTGACCTTGACGACACCGAAGGAGATGGCCTTCTGGAACTCCTCGACAGCAGAGCCGGAGCCACCGTGGAAGACGAAGAAGACGGGCTTCTTGTCGCCGTTGCCAAGCTTGGCAGCGACGAACTCCTGGTGCTTTCCGAGCAGCTCGGGGTGGAGCTTGACGTTGCTGCGAAGAGGTCAGACCGGAGCATTGTCAAGGTTGCTGGTTGATTGCTGATTGCTTACCCGGGCTTGTAGACACCGTGGACGTTACCGAAACCGGCAGCGATGGAGAAGTAGGGGGAGATGGGGGACAGAGCCTGGTAGATGGCGTAGATGTCCTCAGGCTGGGTGTACAGAGAGTTGTTGTCGACATCCTCGTTGTTGACACCATCCTCCTCACCACCAGTGACTGTGTGATTGTTAGTTACGGCATTCAGGGCATGATTCAGTCGTGCCTCTTACTTCCGATCTCCATCTCGAGCCACAGCTTCATGGGAGCAGAGCGCTTGAGGTACTTGGCGGTGGTCTCGATGTTGTAGGCGACCTCCTCTGTTGCATGTCAGTCTCGTTGTGTGCAGAAGGTATCGGGGCCGGCACGAACCCTCGGAAAGGTCAATCATGTGGGAGGAGAAGAGGGGGTGACCGGAGCGCTTGAACTCCTCCTCATCGGCGGAGATCATGCCATCGAGCCAAGGCAGGAGCTTCTTGCTGCAGAGACTGTCAATTCCTGTGCGGGCAACGCAGATGTTGGCATCAGGGGCAAACTCACGCGCAGTGGTCGGAGTGGAGGACGACGGGAACGCCGTAGACGGGGGCAATGGAGCGGATGTAGTGGGCGGCAGCAATGGCACCGGCGACGGAAGCCTCCTGCTTGTCGGCAGAGTTGGGGATGGCCTTGCCGGCGAAGTAGGCGGCACCGCCCTGGGAACTGGGACTTGTCAGAGCCGAGAACAATCAAGTCGTTGGTAGGTCGAAAGGACGTACGTCTGGAGGACAATGGGGGACTTGGCCTCGCGGGCAGCCTCGAGGGCAGCAACGGCGGTGGAAGAAGAGGTCTGGGAGGCGGGGTTGTTAGCCGATTGTCAACACCCCTCTTTTCCGTGTCATTCGGTCTGATCTCCGGCAACCGACGACGGCGGAACACGACGAGCAGGGCGGAAGGGAACAACAACATACGACGTTGCAAGCGGGAATGGCAAAGCCCTTCTCCTTGGCGTAGGTGAACAGCTTCAGGACGTCATCGCCGTAGATGACACCGGGCTTGATGTTGAGCTCTTCCAGCAGACCCATGATGGATGGCGGGGTATCTGTATCTGTCTGTGTGGTATTCGGGGTTGTGTAGTGAGAGGTGTGTCTGTTGCGACGGGCCAGAGACGAACGGACCAAAAGGCTGATTTGCGATGTAGGAATTGGAGGAGGAAAAGATTCAGAAAGAAAGTTTGGAATAGGTGGAAGTGGACGGGTTAACTATGTTTGGTTGCTCACACCCACGAGCGGGATTTTACTCGGGCTGAGCAGCAGAACCCGGTCCATGTCCCACGTTCAGTCCATCGCTCCAGTGACGGGTGCCCTTTGCTGGGTCGCGGTTGCATGAGGTGAGGTGCGGTGCTGGGCCTGGGCTCGACTGGGAAGGGACACTGCCTGCGAGAGGTGAGGTACATGAGGAGCTCCTCTTCCCTGTCCAGGTTGCTATTTCTTACGCCAGTCCAACGGCAGGCGGTACATTGAATGTGGGAAGGCAAAGTACCTACCGAGGGGCATACTGCATAGCTGCTGCTTGCTACCGCGATTCACCTCCAGCAGCCAACGTGGGTACCTAACGGCTGGTTCAATTTCATTCGGATTTCCCTGTGCCACTTCTCGCTACCTAGGTAGGTATCTCATTCATCACCAGGCTCCTCTCCTCGCCGAGAGCGCCGCCAACAGTGGGAGACTGTCTCTCTCACTTTCTCTCTCTCTCTCTTTCTCTCCCTCTCGTTGCAGTGTCTCAACCTGGAGGACTTGTTGAGGAAGGAAAGGGAAGGGGGAAAAAACAGTACTACTGCGCAAGTACCTTAGCATCGGACCGTCGAATCACAGAGCCCCTCTTACCACGTCAAACGCGATTAACCCCTCCCCCCACCCACCGTCCAATTGACGTCAAAATATTGCTGGCGCACCACTTATTGCAGGGATCCAATCACTCGCTGCCCTGTGCTTTTCCCGGTTGGGAGACGAGGGGCACTGCGATGGCGCTGGAATGGCGGGGCTTGTAGAGGGCCCAGCTGCTGTGCCCAGCCGTGTCAGCGCCTCTCTGGCCCGTGCACCTACCGCTCCGGCCACCGAGACCGCTGTCGAGCCTGCTGACTGTCATGGCATTTGACTTTTCCCTCTCCAGACTTCTCGGCCTTACTTCTTCTTGTTGAGATATTTATTGTCCAGCCCGTGGATATCAATGACTCGATTCTCCATAACGGGGCTGCTCTGACGGCCAGGGTGGTGGTTTCACCGAGCATCTCGGTGTGTCGAAAGGTGTGTAAAAATAAAACATCTATATTCTGGGATCCGAAGCTGATGCCCGCCTTGTGAAGCATCGTGAACCTCCGGACCCGACCCGACACACACCACAACCGCAACAACAAATCTCCGTCGCATTGCAACCCCCATCCCGGCCCCAAAGATGCACCATCGGATCTGCTTCCCCCAATTTCCTTACCTCACGCAGCCGGGCCCCGGAAACCAACGACCAATCGCGCCGCTTCATGACGATGCCATCCCCGGCCATGAACTCATCCTTACCAGCTGCGCCGTCCCACCCCAGCCTTGACGCCTTATCCATTGCCGAAGCCCGGGAAGATGCGGGATCGTGACAGCCTTCGACCCTTTGTCCGCCGAAAACCGAGCATCCAACAACCACACATCGGCACCTCGATACCTTGTCTTCCTCGGCCAACCGTCGACCATCCCGCGATGCCCTCCTCCATTGCCGGAGAAATTCCACACCTCTCGGCTCATCTCGTGTCTCTGATATCGTGGCCTCCACTTCCAAGAGTTCGCCTTCCCACCTGACGGCTTTGAACCCGACCTACATCTCGGCTTCGAACCGCGAGCTTGCATATGCCATGTCATGCCTTTCCAATACCTTGCAAACACTCGGCCAATCGCGGCGGCCTCTGGAGCTTCTTCAACTGGTCAAGCAAGTCATGCTTCTATTTCGATTACTGCCAACTATCAAATCCAGGGCTCAGCCGAATGAGACTGACAAACCGAGGCACTTCGTGTCCTCATAACAACGCCGTCGTGTCAGGGGTATGCATCCGTCCTTCGCCGCCTCCCACTATATACCGTCTCCTGTCTCCTCTCCCGGGCCCCGTTCCGCCGCCATGTCCCTCTTCAGTCCAACTCCAGATTCTCTAGTGCCTCCGCCACAAAGGATTGACCCCCGTCCCGTCCCGAAGACGTGTGCCCCTCCATCTGCGCTCCACCGTCGTCCCCAGCTTCGCTTCTGCTGCTGCCCTCGCTTTCTGTTTCCGGCGGCGTCTCCAGGCCCGTAATGCCCCGAGCCCCCAGGTTCCGCTTGAGCATGCACATCTCCACCGCAATCCCGGGCCCGAACGCGCACCCCACTACGTAGTCGCGTGCCCGGCCCTCCGGAGCGATATCATCCATGTCTTTGGAACGCAGCCGGTCCATCACGCTGAATATCGTCGCCGAACTCGAGTTCCCGTGCTTCATGTATGTGTCATAGCTCGCCCGCATGTGGAATGATGAAATATTCATTGCCTTCTCTGCCTCAGTCAGAATCGTGGCACCTCCTGGGTGCATAGCCCAGTCGAAGTCGTCCGCCTTCTGGTAACGCGGCCCCAGTGGGGGAATCGAAGACATGAGCTCTGAAAAGGTTGTGGGTACGGCCGCCGAGGCGAGTTTCGGGACTCGTGGCGAGAGAACCACCTTCCAACCTTTTGTTCGTGTCAGCGTGTGTCGAACACAATAGCCAGCCAGTGTCAAACTTACCAACAGGATCAACATCGAAACCCAGGTCGCCTTCGGTATCTGGGATAATCTTATGCTCCCACCCCAGCAAGGAGTACACAGGCGTCGCAGGCTGCCCGATGCCGTTACTGAGCACCACAGCACTGGCGCAATCCGAGAACAATGCGACGCCGATCCTCGTCTCCTGCGTCTCGTTGATGCTGTCCAGCTCGCTGCGTACCAGTGTCGTGCTAACTTCGAGCGCGACGCAGAGAATCCGAGCAGG